TGCCTCTGCGGTTAATTCTTGGACAAGAATGCTGCTCTGGCGTAATAGACTTGCGAAATAGGGCACTACATCTTTGATACGTCCTTCGTCTAATACAATGTAACGGACTTTGAATGGTATAGGTCTTCCTGCGTCGAGATCAGTGTGTTTTGAAGGCGTGCGAGTGTCGGGATGTTGTGGGGAATCGTGGCGGAAGCCTTGACCAGGACGGTTAGCAAGTGGTACTATGACAGGAGGTTCACGTATCCGTAATTTGTTCAAGATCTTGCGATTACGTGCCTCGCCAGGGAAGGGTTGTTTTAGTATAGAGTCAGTATGTTGCGGTGCGTTGCTTGGCATCTCCTCTAGGACATCGTCGCGTTCTTCTTCGTCTTCCATAGTCTCGCCCGGTAAAGACTCAAAACGTGGGAGCGCGAGTAGTGAAGGAACCTCATCCCCATATAATCTTTTGACCTGCAACCGTGAGTTTCTGATAATCGTGGAAACCTAAGACAAGCTCACCAGCATAGGGTGATATGGAATAGGTTGGGCTTCGAGATGATTACTTAGTGACTATCAAACTATTAGATACAAAGCTCACGCTTGCTCGACCGGATCACATACAGCCTCTTCATGAATGCCTTCTTCGAGCCCAGTAGTGACTGCTGAAAAACGCGAGAATGGTACATCAACCTTGCTCCCTCCAATTAGCGAAAACGACTCGTTCGGGTCGAGCTTGAACTGTCGACTAATCATCATGCCAGCTTCTGTGAGCGCTCCAAAGCTGTGTCGGAGTACAAATGTCTCTTTTGGTGTTGCGGCATCATGCTGCCACGAGCCTGCCGGGAGGGCGTCCGCAGTGCTGGGGATAGTACCAAGCTCCCAGCTCCATTTATTGTCCAAATTCTCAAGGCCTTTTAACTTTTCGATGTCATCTGCCGAGCCACCCTGTGTGCCGGACGAAGGCGATATGAAGAACTGTATAAAGTCTCCATCCCGCGCGACTTGCTGAAGAGCAAAAGAAAGATCACCAGGGCCATCAAACATGCTGCCTTCGGTTGAGTTGTTATCCTGTGCAGTAGCAACTGGATCAAGTGAAAGTAAACCGGCCTTCTTTCCCCATCCGCCACCACCGCTCAGGACACGATGAAGACGGGCACCAGCAGCTAGCGCATTCGCGACCAGATCATTGAAGGCAGTCGGATGCTTCTTCCAGAGATTCTCCCATAGTTCGGCATCAGCTGCTGCGGATCCTTTAGAGGCGTCTTCTGATAATCGACCAAGTATCGAATTCGTCGCCGCCAGAATAGGCTCCAGCGTCTCCTTGGACATGACCAAAGCCCAAGCCATTGTCGCTTGAGCTGACTCCCCGCGAGCGCTGTAAAATTGAGGGACGACTTTTTCGAGTTCCTGAGAAGCGACCACGCTATTGCCATCGGGGCCAGTGATCCGCCGGAGAATATTCCCCATACTGGCTTCAACTTGGCGTGGAGTCGTCAGAGGGATCAAGGGAACAGTGAGAGCAGAGGTCTGCTTTGTACCTGGCGCGCCCGTGTGAATCATGATGCCGTGATGCGTGACTTGCTGTTTCGCTTTGAGCGTGAAGTCTACAGCATCTTTGCTCTTCTCCCACGTCGAGTAGATCATTGTTGATGGAGTGCCCGTCTGAAACACGGTATTGGCCAACGGTAGCCGCAGAGTGTCGCTGAAATAGCCGGCGCTGTCCTCGGAAGTCTTGGAAGCCACGAAAGTAATCGCGGCCTGGTCAGCTGGGGGTTCGGACGAGGAGGGAATTGAGTCGGAGAAGCACAGGGTCGCATAGGCAATCCCTTCGAGCCCAGTCTCGCCAACCGGCGGCTGCTTTGCCCTGTCCCGAGCCTCCTTCTCTAGTGACGTGATGTCATCCAGTGATGGTAGTGTTCTTGGGGCAGGAAGCTTGTCCACCACAGCGCATAGAGCATGCACCCTCGTGTATGGTTGCTTCGCTAAGCTGAACCATTCGCCATAGGCCTGGCGGAGAGCCTTGTGTACGAATGCTGAGTCGTCGAGGAGCCATGGCGCAAACGAGGGTGTAACGAGGAAGACGGCGAACCGGTCGCGAGTGAGGTGCTTCTTTTCCACTGGAGTAATGTGCTTGATGAGGTCTTCTGGTGTCTGACCGCGTTAGCCTTTCCCTGCCATTTCGCCTGCTCTGACGTACTGTTCCAACAATGGAGCTGGGTATTATTATGGCGCTATTGGCCGTACTGAGCTTGAGCGTTCCGTCTCTGTCATCGCCGTCCGATGTCTGCGAGTATGCGCGAAGAGCAAGGTGGTGTGCGCGGTAGATACGAGCAGTGGCGGGCTTGAGGCCCCGCAAGACGTGCCATTGTCGCGTGACCCAAGGAGGCATTAGTTTCAATCAATTGACCATGATGCTGGGCGCAGTCCCTCTATCAAAATTTCCGTCAATTGATCGAGTCCTGAGACCATGGAGATGAAAACGCGCTAGAGCTGCTTAGTCAGGCGATCCGTAGATCTAATCTCACATGCACTTGCAATGTTGAATGTGGTTCGCAACATTGAACAAAAGCGAGGCGGATAGTGACATTGAAAAGGCACTTGGAAAGGATTCAGGCAGTTGCAAGTCTAGTCAAACCCATAGCTGGAGTGAAGTTGAAGGCCGGCGGACTACCAGTATCAAGTATCAGATTATCGCACATGCAAGCTCGGACCGTTGAGGCTCGCGGCAGCTGCAAGGGCGACCGAATTATTCCTCATTGATAGTATCATAGTATCTAGTATCTACCAGTGGACTCTCCTGTGCATGTGATTCTCCCTGCAATCTGTAGCAGACCACCCAACGATCGAACGGCCTTTTTGCGCTGCTCCCTACCCAACATTCGCAGTGCTGCCTACCCCTGAGCCCCGTCGTCGCTGACACACCCCCCATCGCGGAGCGCCAGCTTGGCCTCAATTCTCCTGCACCTCCCTTTGCGACACGCAGCAGCCCACGCCATCGCCGTTGCATAGCCGCTCAGCAGCACCACGCCTTCACTTCTGATGCCCCCTTTATAGATACCTTTGCGATTGGCGACCTAGGTCCGCCTGTTCCCCCGTACAAAAATGCCGACTCCACGCTCGTTACGACGCCAGAACCCCATCACCTTTGTCCTCGCCGGCATCCTCTGCATAGGCTTCTTCATATTCTTCTTCTCCAGCGGGGATGGGTCCACCGTCGCCTCGGAGAAGGGGACCGGACACACCGCCTCGAGCGTCCTCTCTCCGCCCTCTTTGCCCTTCCGCAAGTCGAAATCGAACGAAGCCCTACGGGCACCCCCCGTCGAGCACTACTTCATGAATAATGTCACGCAATCGCGGACACCCATTGAGAACAAGGAGAAGGTGCTCATCCTGACACCGCTGGCGCGCTTCTACCAAGAGTACTGGGACAACCTGATCAAGATCGACTACCCGCACGAGCTCATTTCGCTCGGCTTCATAATACCCAAGACCAAGGAGGGAAACGCTGCATTTGCGGCGTTGCAGACACAGGTCAAGAAAACCCAGGGCGGCTCCAAGGCAAAGCGCTTCGCCAGCATCACCATCCTGCGCCAGGACACCGAAAACCCGCTCCAGTCCCAACTCGAGGCGGAAAGACACAAGATGGAAAACCAAAAGGCACGACGGGCTGCCATGGCCAAAGCGCGCAACTCGCTGCTCTTCACCACTCTCGGCCCGACCACGTCATGGGTCCTCTGGCTCGATGCCGATATCGTCGAGTTCCCGCCCACGCTGATCCAAGACCTGGCCGCTTACGATGCTCCCATCATCGCCCCGAACTGTTTCCAGCGGTACTACAACGAGGAAAAGAAGTCAAAGGACATTCGGGCTTACGACTTCAACAACTGGATTGACAGCCCCACGGCGAAGGAGCTCGCCGCGAAGATGGGCAAGGACGATATTCTGCTCGAGGGGTATGCTGAGATGCCGACCTACCGCAGCTTGATGGCCTACATGTACGACCAGTCCGCGGATCCAGGCACCAAGGTCAAACTCGATGGCGTCGGAGGCGCTACGCTTCTTGTGAAAGCAGACGTCCACCGTGACGGCGCCATGTTCCCCGCTTTCCCCTTCTACCACCTGATTGAGACTGAGGGTTTCGCAAAGATGGCGCGCCGGTTGAACTGGGATAGCTATGGTCTACCTAATTACCTTGTAAGTCCAGTCCCTCTATCCTCTTCCGCCTCAGTCTAATACATGCACAGGTATATCATTATAACGAGTAGTGTGTTCGCCCTAGATTTCCTTCTTTCCGGATTAGCTTGGCGATCATTGGGCGGCGTTTCGCGTTCTCAAGGGGGATCCATTCGAGTGCAAACTACAGCTATACTCTTCTCATTTCTGTTCGCGCTGTGCGGGGAAGGAAGGAGGGATTGGGATCTGTCGGATGTGCTACATAGGGTACCTTTTTTGCAAAAGGGTATTGACATCTATCTGTCCGGTCTGGCTTCGGACTGGAGCAAAATTAGAGTTTATACGCTTTCACTATTTACTCTTGATTGTCACTCAAACCATCTACTCGCCCCACGGACTAAGTCGCAGACTTTAGATTGACGAGTTCTCTGTGCAATGGTTCCACTAGCTAGTTATGACAAACAGTGATGGAATATTTTTGTCGTGGAACGCCTGCGCTGTCGATATCTGCTCTCTGTCATTAGCGTTGCTGCTGTTTTCACATCTTCGACACTTGATGCAGTACTGTTAGCTTTAACAGAGCATGACAATAGCGAAATAAACCGTGATACTCTCCATACTATCGTTCCCATCCGTACTCCCCATGTTCCTAGTTACGCTAAGCTCAGACACCACGCTATCCGCATCTAGCCCTCACACCTGTCTTACCCCTCAGTCTGTGGCCCCACATGCATAATTCAGAATTCTTCCCACTCCTGCATTTTCCCATCAGACCTCACTCTCTCCCAGCACCGCTCGTTTTGTTCAGGATATATTTTATTTAAGGGGAATTGTTTCCATAGATCGGCTCGGTGGTGTAGTTGGTTATCACGTCAGTCTAACAAGCAATGTCCTGTTAGGGTCACTGAAGGTCCCGAGTTCAAACCTCGGCTGAGTCATTATTTTTTTTGTCTTTTTTGCTTTTGTCTTGCATTTTGGTGGGGTTTTGGCGTTTAGAGTTAGCGTTTCTTTTTTTAGATTTTAGGTTTTAGATTTATGAGGGGTGGTGGAGGGGAGCACGGTCTTGGTGGTGGTGGGTGGAGTGGATGCAAAACCTTAGTCGCAGCGGTTGGTTGATAAGGGACGATTCAACTGTCAAATACGGCAGAGTTGACAATGCGCAATTGCAAACACGTCACGGGGAATGTGTTTATTATTATTATTGTGTCAGTATTATTGAGATAAATTGAAAAAGAGAGTAGGGATGCCATTCTGTTGGAAATATCTGGGACATATCGACATGAGGCACGAGCATTGATTCGGCAGGTTAGAGACGAGGGTGCAAATCCTCAATCAGCCCTTCACTTCAAATTAACATGCTACCTTGTGCGCGGCCTGCCACTTACGTACATTCTGCAGCTGTCGAATGAAAACCTCTGCAGTATTCAACTCCACTGAAAATCGTATCGCAAGGAGTGGTCTCTTCAATCCGAACCTCGGGCTATTGGTCGAGCCTTGTGTCCGATCTCGTGTTACATCCTAACATCAGAGCTTATTAGCTAGATCAAGAGAATTACGAACCAGAAACTTACCGTTCCAGAGGTGTCAGACCTAAGAGACGCATCCCGTTATTGATTACACACCTCGCCGCGTCGTAAAGAGCCACTCGAGCCTTCATAAGTTCCCGCTCGCTCCCAACTACCTGCAGCACATCGTAACTACTATTAACAGCATGCGTGAGACGAAACAAGTACGTTAGGACCGTAGTAGGCTCTAGCGTTTTCAGAGTATTTTGGATGGTGTCGGGGAACTGGGCGATGAGTCGAACCACGTTGATCGCATGGGGTTCAGCCAGAAGGTCGAGGTTTGCGGTTTCGATCTCAGAAGTCGGAACACCCGCTTTTAGCAGGATGGAACAGAGTCGGGCGTGGGAGTATTGGAGGTAAGGGCCAGTGTCTCCTTCGAAGGACGTCATTGTGTCGATGTTGAAGCGGTAGCTGTTGATGCTGGATGGCGTCAGATGACTCTTCAATGGAAATCTTAGTCAAGATGGAAATCATACCGCTTCCCACTCATATCTTGCACCATGACACTACTGATACCAAGGATATCGGCGGTCCTTTCAGGATCTAAGACTTGAGCGTACTTGACCTCGTTCTTCCGCATCACTTCGTGCATCTTTTCACCCACGTCCTTCAACACATCATCCAAGAAAACCACCGTTCCTCTACGCGTGCTCATGCCCAGGACAAGACCAAATCTGACATGGGAGATTCGAGAGCGCAGTTCCGGATTGTCAGTCAACTCAACGAGCTTGAAGAGCTGCTTGAGATGCAGTCCCTGGTCGCTGGCGACAACATATATCATCTGATCGAACTTGTAGGCCTCGTTTCGCTCAAACGAGGCGCCGAGATCACGCGTGAGATAGAGGCTTGTGCCATCAGTCTTGCGTATAAGCGCTTTGCCAAGCGCTTCGCCCGTCTTTCCGTCAACATGTTTGGAGAAGTCGACTATCGCGGCTCCCTGCGATCCCTCCAAGAGTCCTCTACTCTCCAACTGCCTCTCTGCACTTTTCATGCTGTCTTCCCCGACAAGGCTCTCGCCCGCGTACTCATCGAAATGGATGTTCAGCCGAGTATACGCCTCTTTGTACCTCTGTATGCTGAGCTCCCTGAACTTCTTCCACATTCCGATAGCTTCCGGATCGCCGTCACACATGGCTTTGAAATATCGCCTCGCTTGCTCGTCAAAACCCTCGTTCCGGAGCTTAGTAGCATCCTTCCCTTCTTTCTCCAAACGTTCAATCTCCGTCCGTTCCTTAGCAAGAAGCGCGTTAACCTTGACGTAAATCTGGTACAGATGATGAATTTGGTCCGCTTCTAGCGCTTTCTCGTCTCCAAACATCTTATACCCCAGCGCTAGCAATCCGTACTGTTTACCCCAGTCCCCCAGGTAGTTCAGACGCACGACGTCCCACCCAGCGGATTGGTAGAGGTTGGAGAGAAAGCCGCCGATGATGGTGCTTCGGAGATGGCCTTGGTGGAAGGGCTTTGCAATGTTGGGCGAGGAGAACTCGATGACGATGCGCTTTTGGCCTTTTGAGGCGTCGTTGATGTCTTTCAAGCCGAGGAGGGGGTTGCTGCCCCATGCAGTTCGGTTATGGAGAACGGCTGGTATGACGTTCTTCACGAGGGCGTTGGGTTTGAAGCGAAATTGGATGAATGGGCCGTCGACGGTGGGTTTAGAAAGTAATGCGGATTCTGGGAACTAAAGGAGTGGAGTGGAGTGGATTAGCAGTGTCTCGGTTAGGGTCTAGTGCAATGGATTACCTGGTCAGCCCAACGACTTGCAAGATCATTAGGGCTCTCTCCTTGGATTCTCAGAGCGGGCACTGGGAGTAAAAGATCGCCTTTGTCTAGAGTTGATGTTCGCTGGAGTAGGGAATAGATCGTTGGAGTAGGGAATAGATCGTCTTAGGCTGGACGCCCGATAGCTCGGAAAGGGCAGTGGCGATGTCTTTGCGATAAAGATCGAAAGGATTAAGGGAAGGGAAACACTCCGGGATATCGAGTTGGTCGATTTGAAGCTTTTGAAGCCGTGCATCAGGCAAGTCATCCATGGCTGCTATGATCTTTGTTGTTGGGTGCGACGATGAGAGGAGGCGCGCGGAGAAGTTCGACAGAAGGGAATTGTCTAGCAACAAATATGCGGCTACTATGTATTGAAGTGCGGAATCGACGTTTGACTCATAGCTGTGAGCAACAATGCTTGGTGTTACCGTAAGGTAGGGTGTATTGAGTCATGACTCACGTGCCTCAACTCGGGGCACAGTCATCTCATAAAGTAGGCCCGATAACGTATTTCAGTACTTAACTGCGCTAACTATTAGAGCAAACCATCGCAGGCTCTGTGAGAGTGGGTGGCATCGTGGAAGCATCTGTTTGGGAGTCTGTGTACTGCGCCATGTGCACGGACCATCCAGGGGGCTTGAGCCCATCAGTGAACGAAACGCCACGCATCGGACACCAACCGACACTAACTTCAATTCTCCACATTCTGGTAAGTACAGCCTTCTTTTCGTCTTTGGACGTGTACAAAGAGGGCTGACTCTTTTCAGAGGAAACGATATGTTCCTCTTCGGCCCTGTCATCGAACAGAAGCCTTTCGTTCTCAGAGCATGGACCCTCAGCCGCCTGTAGTAGAGTCTACCCGAGACCTCCGCCATCTCAGCGAGGTATTCTCCGTCGAGGATGATGGATCACACAAGTATTTGCGTTCTGCATTTGCCGTCACAACCTGTGATGACTAGGTATAGTTTAGTCAAGCTCCCATCAGGTAGAGAGAATTAACCTCAAAGACCATGGAAAACTTGAAGTTCGTCCCGACGAGGATATATATCCCGAACCTCTAGCACACATCACGACCTTTTCGATGCCTCTTGATAGCACTGTCTACATCAAAGGCCCTAAGGTGGGGAGCTACGACGCGTTTAAAGGCTTGGGGCTACTACCGAAACTGCTCCTGCAGGAAGCTGAAATACTGGAACTCCTTCGGCACAATCCTTATCCACACATCGTTTAATATCATGGCAGTGGTCAAATTGTTGGCCTTATCCTGGACCGATATCCCGCTACGCTTCCGCGGAGACTAAGAGACGGACCTAGAAAATTGTACCTAGACCTCTTCTCGGATAGAATTAAGTTAGCAGTAAGCCATTTTTATTCGTTAGGCCTGGCGCATAATGATCTCAATTCAAACAACATTATGGTCAATGAGGGTGATACACCCGTTCTTATTGATTACGGCTCTTGCCAACCTCTCAGGAATGACTTCATTACAGCGGGTACACCAGGGTGGACTGATGGAGATTTCACAACTTCAGCGCAGCGAAATGCCGAATTTGGACTAGGAAAGTTGCAAGTTTGGTTGAATGAACACCAGGCTTCATTGGATGCTTAAGGCTCAGAACTCTGTGTGTATAGCCACCAAGACTCGTCACAGGGCTACCAAAGCTAAGACGACCTAGTAGTGGCGGGGCTGATAGTTCTGCGACTGAGGGCATTGTGGACTCCCGCAGTCTACGAAACTGGCTTCCGTGTGCATTGTTCGTCGACCCTGCGCATTCACCGTGACGACTTGTGTAGTTGCTGTGCCGCACCTGCTTTACCTTCAGCTGTATCCAGGGCCGTGCGTTCGTTCCCTAACTTACATCGTCGAGGAAGCAGTTCGCAGAATGACTCTCGTAACCTGAAATCTTTGTAAGTACCGCAGTACTAGCATGGGGATTAAATGTACTTACTACGGGCGGAATATCTCTGAGGTGAGGGCAATGGCAGATAATGAGAATAAGCATCTGCTAGTCCTTAGGTCGTACGATATCGCTAACGGCTCTAGAAAACTGTGCCACTGGCATGCGCATGCATGTAGCATCCTCGTACTCGAAGTGCCGCCATTGGGCAAAAATCACCTTTGTCTGTAGGTCCCCCGCTCTATTATTGCCAACAACCCCGCGCATTTAAAGCACAGCAGTGGGTTCTTACCAGTCACGTGCCAGTGGTACCGCATAATCTCAAATAAAGCAGCCGTGCTGGGCTCAAAGAGGCAGTTTGATTGAAGTCAACCGGACATCCAGGACAGGCCTTGGAAACCCTCAAAAGGGGCCCACTTCAGTTTAGATCATACATTTAAACGTTGAACTGGACCATCCAACCCTACCTAGGTAATTAGTTAAAGAGAGGGCTGAGGCGGCCTTCAGATACTACCCTTTCAAGCCTCAGACGACTGCTTGGTTTGAGATTACCTAGGTATGCGGTGGCAATTCTGTGGTGAGGCGCCTATTGCTTTCGCCTCAGATGCCGTTTAGAGTATCCGTATGAAGGTTTACTATATAGTTCTAAGCTCTACTCAAATCCCACGCAGGGTCTGGACGCTAAACTAGCTCCAGCTAAGCCCTACTAGA